ATTTCCTCTTCCCCATTCACATTCAGGTCCTTGGCCAGTGGCCTCTTTGAGGTGTCACCTAAAGATCTGGCTGTTGCTGCCCTAGGAGGGAAAGGAAGGAAGAGACTCTGAAAGCCACTCTTGATTGGACCGTATGCCTGTGGGCGGAATCAGTGCTGTCCTTAGGGAGCTTGCCCAGTCTACCTCATTTCCCCTTCCTGGTTCCCAGTTCCAGCTTTTCCAGTCTCGCTGTGGCTCCCAGGATTCTTGAGGCTTACCTGGCACAGCACTAGGTTGGGGGCCACAGGCTCACCCCAGACCTGGCCGCGGGAATCCTTCATTGTCCTTTCTGGCTTTCTGTGCTTAACAACCTGCTCCCCCTCTCCCCCCAGGTGTCAGTCTTGGGGGTCCCTGTATTCTGGTCTCACCGAGCCCTGGCTGTCCTGGACTTGCTATGTGGATCAGGAACTCAGAGATCCTCCCGCCTCTGCCTCCTGAGGGCTGAGATTAAAGATGCTCCCAAAGAATCCGTTATCTTTGTATGGATACCTTGCTCAGCCTAGATATAGTGGGGAAAGCTGGGTCTTGTGTCAAAGCAGTGTGCTAGACTTTGTTGATTTCCCTTGGGAAGCCTTACTTTCTCTGAGGAGTGGATGGGGTCTGGGGTGGGAGAGAAGGGGAGGGAACAGGAGGAGAGGAAACTGGGATTGGTATGTAAAATGAGAAAGGATCGTTTTTAAACAATAAATTAGTTAATTTAAAAAAAAAAAAGGTGTTCCGAAAGAAACCGGGAACCCTTTCTTTGGGTTGCATCTAACTAAGCTAGTGGGGCTGAGGTGTAGTCAGGTATGACGTGATCAACATGCAGGGTTGAATCCCTGGCAGCATCAACAAGGAAAGAGAAAGAAAGTAACACTGTGATGTGAGGGGCTTGAAAAGTTTCTGCACCTCATAAACCACTCTGCCCAACACAACACAGTAATCCGAATCAGACCAAATCAAACCAAACTAGAAACAGCCCAGGTTAGTGGACGCCAGTGCTTCCGGATGGTGTTCCAGTCACCCAGAGAAGAGACAGGGAAGGAAGACCAGAAAATTATGTGTTTCTTTGTGGGGGGGGAGTTTAAATTCCCTTTGAGAGTGGTCTTGAGTATCCGGGTAGGGGTCATCTTTTGAGGGGCTTTCTTGTGGGCAGAGTCTGGACTGAGGTAACTCCCAGGGGAGGGGACTTGGGATGGAACTTCCACCCCAACATTCCAGACTCTGGATATATGGATGTCAGAGGCTGGGGTGTGGCTTCCATCCAAACGGGTCTGTGCAGGAGACAGCCGATTCTTCAGTGTGGTCCAATTCTTCAGTGTGGCCCAAACAGCCTTTGAGGTTCGTGAACCCTGTCAGCAGTTGGGTGACTCTGAAGCCTGCAGTCTGATGGGACATTCAAAGTTGCTCTGTCGGCCCTGGGACCTTCGGAAGCCGCGATGCCGCTATCCGCCGCCAGGGGGCAGCAGGACCCAGGAGTAGGAACTGGTCACCAAACTGCTGTGGGCTTTGAATGCTGGGTAAGGCAGGGAGTCATGACCTATGCCCGCTTCATCCTGAAGCAGCAAAGCATTTTCCCTTTAGCCCCAAATCCTGTTTTGTGATTTGCAAGGCTTCGTGGTTCTGACAGGCCAGAAAAGGGTGCTGGATCCCCAGGACTGGAGTTATGGTTCGTTATAAGCCTCCCCATGGGTCTCCTGTAAGGGAGCTCTTCACTGTGGATCCAGAAGGTCAGCTGGGTGATGATTTCTCTGCCTCTCTGAGCTAGCAGGCTTTTATTCCAGCATCTGGCTTACGAGTCTTTATTGGTAAAATTGAACAATTGAAATTTTATTAAAAATGTTTGGCACTCCAACCTGTGGTGTGAGCACACAGACAGAGAAATCATGCCAGCTGCAGACAAACTGAGAAGCCATCAGGTTTGCTAAGACACCTGGGAAGTCCTCAAGGAGAGAGCTAAGTAATATTAAAAGGAAAAATCTTTTCCACATCAAGGGTGGGAAAATCATAACACAGGGCACTAGGACCCTGCCACTCAGCTACTTAGGTGGCCTGAAAACAGAAGCAGAAAATGAAGAGAAATGACTGAACTGAGATTGACACACACAGATCATAATTAATATCAGTCTGTCATTCATATTTCATCCTCAATAGCCGTAGTAGATTTTTAGTGCTAAATATGAAAAGTTTTGATAACTGTGCCAAATATAAAAAGTAGAGATTTATTAGATACAAGCCTTATAAAGACTTAGAAATGAAAATAAGAAAAATACACAAGCACAAACAGAGGAATTTAGACAAGAACCTACTGTGCCACCTCATGGTGAAACTGAAGAGGGGTGGCCCACGGTTGTTAGAAAACCAACCTTAGTTTACCCAGTTATTACAAATAAAAAGCTACCCTCAGGCAATAGGCACCTCCAAGGCTTTGCAGATGTTAAATGGAATCCTATAGACATATGACATTTGAAGGGTTTTAAGGAAGGGGTCATTTCATGTGTATGCCATCACCCTATGTGAAGAAGATGTTAAACTCATGGACAACTCAGAACACGGTTATCCCCCAACACTGGAAAGGTTTGGCGACAGCAGCATTGGAACCTGGTCCTCAGTTACAGCGGTGAACATGGTGGACAGAGGAAGTCAGGGCCCTGGAACAATGAAATAGGGCAGAGGTGTTGATATTTCTCAAGATCAGTTTCTAGGTGAAGGCCAGTGTGCTGGGCTACAAAGACAGCATGGATTTGATGCCCACACCTTGCTGCTGTGTCATTTAGCAAATGCTTGTGATGAGGGCGAAGAACCAGGAAAGAAGTCTGAGTCGTTTACCATACAAGACCCCAAAGAAGACTTACTTCACTGATATTCTGCAAAGATTGATTTCAAAAGTCAGACAAATATTAATTGAATCTTTGGCTTTTGAAAATGCTAATTCAGAATGCAAAAGGGTGATTGTGCCTTTAAAGGCAAGATCAGCACCAATAGATGAATGGATTAGAAATACAGCTGATACTGGACCTCAGGTTTATGATGATACTTTGATAGAAGTGATTTCTAAAAATTTTAAGGAAAATCAAAATGTCAGGTGTTTTAATTGTGGTAAGTAAGGTCATCTGAAATGGGATTATAGGGAAGGCATTCCTAGAAACAATGTATTTTTTCTAGAGAGAATCCAAACAGAAGGTCCCAGCCTTCTGGAGTATGCAGAAGGTGTTACAAAGCCAGCATTGGACTAATGAATGCAGATCAACATGGGAGAAGCAAGGTAACCCTTTGCCACCGGGAAATGCCAAAGAGCACCTCTTGCAGGCTCCAGGGTTCAATTTGGTTCAATCATTTCCTGTCAGAACTGGAGAAACTCATCCATAGAGCAATTAAAAGACTTAATGCCTGTTTGTTAAAAAAAAAAAAAAAAACAGCACTGCTCTGGATGTGATCAAGGACAGAACAGCCTTCAGTAGAAAAAAATAAAAAATTCAGGAGCAACAAGAAAACAAGTATTTTGGGCAAACTGCTGTAAATGATCAGAGATGAAAGCTAAAATACAGATAAATGGCATTGAGATGGAAGGTTTACTAGACACAGGTGCAGATGGAACAATAATTTCACCAAAGTCCTAGCATCCAGCTTGGCCTCTTCAGGAGGTCAATGTTCAGTTTCTAGGGATTGAAACTTTGTCTCGGGTGAAACAAAGTGCAGGGTGGGTGGAATGTATAGGGCCAGAAGGACGAATGGGAAACTGGTTTTACTTTTGGTGTTTTTTTTTTTACTTAAAACTCAAGATCATATTTTTATATATAAGGGTTTTATAAACCCAGTGGCTAGTGTGCAGAAAAGTCAGTAGTTTTTTTAAGGCCTGAGTTCTTTTTTTTTTTTTTTTGGTTTTTTTTTCAAGACAGGGTTTCTCTGTGGCTTTGGAGCCTGTCCTGGAACTAGCTCTTGTAGACCAGGCTGGCCTCGAACTCACAGAGATCTGCCTGTCTCTGCCTCCCGAGTGCTGGGATTAAAGGCGTGCGCCACCACCGCCCAGCAAGACCTGAGTTCTTTACATTAGCTTTTGGTTATAATTTTTGAGACCTGCAGCTAATCAGAGCACTCCTTTTGAAATGCTTGATTCATTTTTTTCTTTTATTGATTTTATTGTGCTCGACATTTTTCTCTGCTCCCCTCCCTTTCTCTTCTCTCCCCTTCAACCTCCTCCCATGGTCCCCATGTGATGTAGGAGGTCCTTCTGTCTATGTGTTGCTTTTATTGGTTAATGAATTAAGAACTGGCTTGGCTTATAGCATGGGAGGAGGAAGACCCAGCCTGTAAATCCTCGAGTCTCCACTGGAGGCAGCACCAGGATTCCCAGAGGCAGAGAGGGAGAGGGGACCCTGGGCATAACACAGGACAGATATGAGATGAGACCCTGTGGATCCCTCCTCTCTGCCCATCCTACAACCTGGGTTAGATTCTGATAAATGAAAAAGGAGAGAAACTCCAGGAAGGGGCCTGAAGGGAGGCAGGAGCTCAGGAAACTGAAGATCATGTTCTCATCCCACAGTCTCCTGAGTGCAGGGCCTAGTGGACCTTGAGGGGACAGGAATGGAAAACAACTGTTAATGCTGTCACTAAGGGACCCCACAGGATAATGAGGCAGGCACCACTCACAGGAGCAAGAACAGGCCTAGTCCTCCATACTAACTAAAAAGACAAGAAATCAACACTAAAGACAGAGGAAAGAGTAACAGCCAGGAGAGCAGCCCTGGTGACTCATAATCCCGGGGACAGGACAAGGCTCTAACCATCCCAGTGTCCCTGTGATCACAGATCTCAGTATGTGGTTCTAAGTGATGAAGAGAACAGAGCCAGGAGGGGACAGAGCAGAGGAGTGACCTTGTCAATGCCAACAACGCACAGCCCTGTTCTCACTCAGCTCTCACAGCCTCATCCTGTCCCACCACATGCACACAGCATTGTGAACACAGATTCTGGGAGGTTCTCCACGCTGCCATTTATTTCCTCCACAAACTCACAAACTCGATGTATCGCGAACCTTTATATTACCTGACAATTAATCTGTTAGATCAAGGACATTAACGATCAAGTTCACATTCAGATTCTTATTTTCAGTGGGGAAGTCAGGGTTGCAGCTCAGGACAGCATGAAGAAGACAGGATGGAGATTCCCCTCCTGTCTGCAGGAACAGGAAGGTTGGCTGTGGAATGGAACAGGGCAGTGCAGGAACTGGGTCCTGGGATGTGGGGTGAGCTGGGCTCCCCAGTTCTTCACACTGAGCCCATAGGATCACAGGGAACATCAGACACTATTGCTGAGAGTGAACTGAGGGGCTCTGGATGTCACAGGAGAGACCTGGACACATCGTCTGTCACTGCATCCACACCAGGCAGCTGTCTTCATGCTACAGAACAAGAGTCATGAACAATCACTGTGAAGACAACATCCCAACAACCCACCACTCACTCAAAGATGATTCTGGGAGTCCCTGAAACCCAATCATGTCCACTCTGCTCCTCCCCAAGTCAGGTCCCAGGTGGTCACCTTTACAGTCTGGGAGAGACACATCAGAGCTCTGGGAACTGTCCCTGCCTAGGGTAAAATTATATATATATATAAATAAAATTATATATATATAAATATATATATACATCATACATAATCCCAGAATATTTTCCTGCAGGAGCTATTATTGATTGTCAGAACTCCCCAAATAATTCAGTTTCAACCCAAAGGCCTCAGGGACAATCCTGCCCACCACTCTTACCTGGAGCTGGAGCATAGTCCCCTCCTTTTCCACCTGTGAGAAGAAAAGCTGTGAAAGACCAGGGAAGTCCCCGACTCTAGGAAGTTTCCAGAACTGACAGCAGACCAAGGTTAGAGACAGCAGCAATGAGGGGTGTGGATGTGTTTCCCATTAATGAGGCAGAGCACACTTCTAAAAGGGGCAGAGAGAGAACTCAGACCCTGCCCTTTCCTACCTGTGTTTCTCCTCCTTTTCATCACAACAACCACCACAGCTCCAGTGACCACAGCTCCAAGGAGAACCAGACCAGCAATGACTGCCATGATGGGGACTGTGGACTGAGGAGGCTCTGGGAAGAGATGGACAGGAAGGGAAGGTGAGGGTCATGACCCCAGCTCTCAGCCCTGACCCTGCTCAGGGTCCGCAGAAGGCTCCAGCTTTCCCTGACCCCAGCTCTGCACCCACTCCCTCCTTACCCCATCTCAGGGTGAGGGACTCAGGCAGCCCCTCATGGTACACATGGCATGTGTATTTGTGCTCCTCCCCAGAAGGCACCACCAGAGATGCCCACTTCTGGAAAGTTCCATCCCCAGAAGGTCTGGTCTCCACCAGCTCCATGTCCTGAGTCTGTTCCTCCTCCTCCCTCTGCCAGGTTAGAGTGATGAAGGCAGGGTAGAAGCCCATGGCCCAGCACCTCAGGGTGATGTCACCTTTAGGTCCAGGATGATGGGTCACATGTGCCTTTGGGGGATCTGTGTGGAAAATTAAATCCCACAATTAACAAGATAAACTGAAACCTGTAAAGACAAAGCTATAACAATGATGACACTGAACTATGTGACTGTTTGAACACTTCTGTCATCACACAGTGACCTGCAGGTAGAGCTGGTCCCCTCATCACAGAACTTCAGTTTCCTGGGAACCCAGAAGCTAAGAGGGAATCCACATGAGCCAGCAGGTCACCATGGTCTTCCTTATGTGATGTTCTGTAGCATAAGTTAGGTAGGAAAAGAATGAAGGGATGGAAAACAATTTATATACATGATATTAATTTTCATATCCAAATAAGAAATTAGGGTAACAGGTTACATGAAATGTGCCACTAATTCCTGCTGCCACCACTGAGGCACAGCCACTGTGGTCATCTTGCTATCCAGCATTAACTGTCCATCCAGGTGAACATCCATCACCACAGTGAGCAGCAGAAATGTGGTGAACTTCTGACACTCAGCCGGAGAAAATGACTCCCAACTCCTGTCTCTGAGGGACAAGATAGCAGGTATTGTCACCCAGGATCCCTGAAGTGTGCTGTGGAGCCCAGTGCAGCACTCACTGGGACACAGCGGTGGTCACAGGGTGTGTGGATCTTCCCTGTCACTCCAGTCCTGGAGTTGCAGAAGACCCTCTGTCTCTGAGGAAGTTCAGTTCCTAATTCACTAGGCCTACACTGTAACTTGTTGGGTCAGAGGGAGAGCAGGGGGCTCTGGATGGCTAACTCTGGCTGAAAATAGTCTTAAGTTCACAGGAATCTTTCTCGTTTAAAGGGAACACTGATTTAATTTGTCTAATTATGTAGAGTATCAGTACCCACGGCACCTGTGCAGATGGATACACAAGATAACACAGGGAAGGGAGAGAAGGAATACCCGCCCAGTGAGGAAGAAAAACTCACTAAAATGAAAATGACAACTTGAAAGAAAAAGGTAAAAAGAAAAAAAAATCCGTAAGTGCCCACGTGACAATTCTAGGAAGAGATAGAATTGGGGTTGGGATGGATGCAAACCTGACACACAGGAATCTGGGAGAATTTATTCTTTGGAAAGTTCTAGAAACTTGGGGATGCAACCTAGGGTAGAGGCATCCATGTCTACCCAGAGGTGAAGAAGACTCCGGTCCTGGTGTGTCAGGGCTGACACACTCAGATGACAGGACTCGGTGTCCACAGACACTGGGTGTGGGCAGAGAACCCGGCCTGGGAGAGGCCATGGCTGACAGGGGCTGCAGACTGAAGGAGCCACTTTTGGTGATGTCGGGATCCTCTCTTCTCCCTCCTGAGACAGATGTGGAAATGTCCAGGGAGAAGTCTGAGCCCTGGGAGGTCAGTGCAGTCCCTGCCATGCTGGATCAGGAGACTCAGGGACCCTGTCTGCCCTCAGAGACAGGGGCATGACCCCAGTGAGGGTTTCCTCTTCCTCAGGACTGAGCCCAGCCCGAGGGCAGAGGGAGGAGTTGCCCGTGGCCCCGCACCTGTGCGCAGCAGTGCGTCCTTCCCCTTCTCCAGGTATCTGCGCAGAGAATGCACACACAGGCCCTCCAGGTAGGACTTCCATCTCTCTGCCTCCCCATCCTGCTCCCACTTCCGCCGGGAGACCTGCGCTGCCATGTCCGCCGCTGCCCACGTCGTCAGGTCCTCGTTCAGGGCGATGAAGTCTCGGCCGTCGTAGCCTTCCTGAGTGTACCCGCGGAGGAGGCGCCCGTCTGACCCCACCTCACAGCCGAACATCCACTGGATGGTGTGAGAGCCTGCAGGGACCCCGCGGTCAGCCCCGCCCACTCCAGTCAGTCCCGCCCACCCGCCCCGCCCCCGTCACCCACGCCCGCGGCCCCGCCCACCCGCGGACTTTAAACCGAAAGGGAAATCGGGTCCGGTCCCCGCTCTCCTCCCGAACCTCGGACCTGGGACCCGGGGCGACTCCGGCCCGTGCGTGGGGACGTGGAGGGGTCGTGACCTCCGACCGCGGTCACTCACTGCCCTCGCTCTGGTTGTAGAGGCGGAGCAGGTTCCTCAGGTTCACTCGGTAAATTTGCTCGTTGTCCTTGGCGATCTGTGTCTCCCTCTCCCAATACTTCGGCCCCTCCTGCTCCACCCACGGCGCCCGCGGCTCCATCCTCGGAGTCTTCGCGTCGCTGTCGTAGCGCACGAACTGCGTGTCGTCCACGTAGCCGACGGAGATGAACTGGGGCTCCCCGAGGTCGGGCCGGGACACGGCGGTGTCGAAATACAGCAGCGAGTGCGAGCCTGGGGGCGGCGCGCGGTGAGACCCCGACCCTGTTCCCGGGACCCCGGGCAGGAGCGCGGGCCGGGAGGGGAGCAGGGCGCGGGGCTCGGGACGCGGGTGGAGAAGGGGCGGGAGGGTCCGGCTGGGCCACGCGGGACGCGACTTCCCCGGTGCCGCCCCCGCCCTCCCCGCGGAGCCCGTTTCCCTCCGGACCCCGCACGCACCCGCGCGGGTCGGGGTCGGGGCCAGGGCGGCCGCCAGCAGCAGGAGCAGCGTGCGCGGCGCCATCGCCCCCATCTCAGATCTCGGGCGTCTCCTGAGTTCCGCGGACTCCGTGGACTTTATAACCGGTGACCGCGGCGACGCTGGTTGGTTCCCCGGGATCTCGTCACCCAATGGGGGTGAGAACCGCCAAGTTGTCATCAGTGTCCGAGCAGAAGGACCTGGGGAGGACAAGGGAATCCCCAGCCCTGGGCTTCCCCACCCAGACCTCACCGCCTGGGGACTAAGACTTTGTCTGAGTCCTGCGCTGTGGGAAGGAGCGCTGTGTGTCGTGGTGTCTCTGAGCCGCCTAAGGACAACTGCTCCTCAGGTTAGTCAGGATGAAACCTGGGAGCATGAAGTTTCCAGGTAAAATACACACAGCACTTAAAATGAATGTTCATGGAAACAGGTGCTGTCGGAGTCCTGGAGGGTGCGGGGCTGCTGTGGACACTGGCATCGGGAGGTGACTGGGGTTTTTAAGCACTGTTGACATACTGTGTCATATGTGACTCTCCCTGCAGGAAGGACGCCCTGCTCACCTCTGCTTTCACTTTCTGCTCCAGTTGTGTTTGGCTAGAATTTGAAGACATCAACTTAAAAATTCACAGGAAAAAATTATAAAATAAATTTTTCTCCACATATTGTACACAAATGAAACCTAGAATCCCCGATGTGTACCTCTGCTGTTAGAATCACCCTCTATCCAGTGTCCACACTGCACAGGCCTGAGGAACTAAGAAGCCAACTGTTATCAGATCTAGGGTTCCACACACCTGCGACATTCATCTCCCTCATCTCATTAGCTCATAGAGTGAGAGTGAAGGTCAGAGAGAGAGAGAGAGAGAGAGAGAGAGAGAGAGAGAGAGAGAATGTAATTTCTACCACATGGTCACTATTATTTTTCTTTATAGTTATTCTTCCTTTCTTACTGTGATTTATTCCCTAAAGCAACTGTACCATGGAAGTATGTGCACACAGGTAAACGTGGAGTGTAGACAGGGTCAGTGCCCTGCTGTATTTGGTCTCCACAGGGTCTCTTCCGATGGAGAAGGGGTCTACTGTGCTGAGACAATTCCCCAGGTCCACACGGACAATCTCAGGACTATGGAATGAAGATCCATGTAAAACACAAGCACCTGGAGCCACAGATGATCATCTGGGAAGAAACACTAGGAGTCTGAGTGTAAGCACAGGCTGTGAAGACACGATCCTGAGTGAAGAGGCAAAGTCTCTGTTTACAGGTGAGATCCCTGGGCATCAGACTTGGCAGTGTGAGCCGCCCACTGCAGGTGAACACAGGAGCTTGGTCTCTGAGATCAACAACAGCCAGAGATGTGGAAACAGAACTTGTCTCAAAACAAAACAAACACACACACACACACACACACACAAAAAAAAAAACAAAAAAAACAACAGGAGAGACACACAGGTCAGACTCACTTCATTCTCTCCTCACCCTTCCTTTTCCTTCTCCCTAATAATTAGACCCTGAATCGTCTAGAAGAAAAGTCACTTCCAGGAACACAATGGCAACAACAATCAGGTTGGGATGCAGGGCAGAGATGCTTCTCTTTAAAGCTGAGGCGCTGGCCTGCAGGCACCACACAGACTCCCACAGAGACACAGTCATGCTCACTGTCCACGCTACTCCAAGGGTCTCTGGTCTCAGGCTGCCCTGCCCCCATCAAACTTACAGCCAGGTGGAACATCACATCCTTTCCGCCAGTGGGAAGAAGACATCTTGTTTTCTTTCAGGGAAGAAGCAGATCCATGGAAACCAAAAGAGGCTGCAAATCCTGGAACCAGGGAACTTTCTAGAACTCTGAAGCAGCAGCTAAAGTAAGAGCAATAATTGGTTAAAACAGGATCCCTTAACTTGGAATGAGGATGTGTGGGAGGGCCCCACTGAAGCTGAGAACTTTGAACCCTTAGATTCTCAGGTTTAGCTCACCTGTGGAAGCAGTCTCTCTGCCCTCAGCCACAACCCCTGAAGACAGGGGTTCCTGTCTGTCCTGGAACTTGCTTTGTAGACTAGGCTGGCCTACAAACTCTCTGAGATTAACCTGCCTCTGCCTCCCGAGTACTAGGATTAAAGGTGTGCGCCACCACTGCCCCACAGCCTTTTCACCTTCGATTGAACAAATTAATCCTTTATTGTCTGTTAACCAGCAGTGACTGTCTCTGAAGGAAATGTTAAGCAAGACAATTCTGATGTCCCTCAGAACCCAACATTAGTTACCTCTAGACCTATTGTTAGCATCCGGGTACACCTGGCCCTGCCCATTGGGGACCTGGCAGAGTGTGCCTTCAGGCATAGCAGGCAGTACCCTGGCCTGCTGTGTGGTCTCTGTGCACATGTGCTGTGCCCCATCCCTTTAAAGGACAGAGTTCTGCATATTCCCTTCTTTCTCTTCCTCTTCCTCTCTCCCACAGGTCTCTCTCTTTCCTTGGCTCTCTGTCCCCCCCCCCTCGCTCTCTGCACCTCTCTCTCTGTGTCTCCCCATGAGGCTGCTCTGTGCTCCCCTTCTCTCTCCCTTTGCTCCCTTCCTCCTCCCCCACAATAAAACTCCACATAGCTCTGTCTGCATGGCGTGTCTGTCTCTCACCCACCCTGGGGCTCCTTGGACCCACCCTGCGCACTCAGGTCCATCTTGTGCCACATTGTAGCACCTCTAACCAGACTGCAGGCAGAGCAGACAGCTAGAGGGGCGTAGAGAGTATACTGCCGGAGGGGATTGCTGCAAAGCTAAAGAACTTAATACATTTGCTAATTCATCTAGGAGAAATCTGGAGAATATGTGTGGGATGGAATAAGGATGTGGAATAATGGTGGAAGAAACATTAAAATTGGGTTAGATTGGAAGTTTCCCACAGTTTAAAAAGGTCAAAAGTTTGGATGGTTGTCTGAAGCATTTGTCAAAAATGGCTTACTGATAAGGACTTGGAGCTGCCTGACACCTTAGGCTCAGTGTTGATGAAGGGATTTTAAGGCTCAGGGATATTGCAGTGCTGGAGTGAGTGTGCTGTGTAAAACCTAATCCTCCACATGGGAAGTCCAGAAGACACACCCTTCACAGACCTGTAAGACACAGTGATGAGGGGCACCAGCAGGGTTCAAGAGTTTTGTTGTTAGCCGGGCGGTGGTGGCGCACGCCTTTAATCCCAGCACTCGGGAGGCAGAGACAGGCGGATCTCTGTGAGTTCGAGACCAGCCTGGTCTACAAAGGGAGTTCCAGGACAGGCTCCAAAGCTACAGAGAAACCCTGTCTCGAAAAAAAAGAGTTTTGTTGTTGGGGCTGGAGAGATGGCTCAGTGGTTAAGAGCACTGTCTGCTCTGCCAGAGGTCCTGAGTTTGATTCCCAGCAACCACATGGTGGCTCCAAACCATCTGTAAAGAGATCTGGCGCCCTCCTCTGGCGTGTGGGTATAAATGGATAAATCTTTTTTTTTTTAATTTTTTTTTTTTGTTGTCAACCTTTTCCTTGAGCCAAAACTTAGGGCTGGAGATACTGCTGCTCAGTGCAGCTCAGCTGGACGAATTAAAGACAATGGGATTGGGCTGGAGAGATGGCTCAGAGGTTAAGAGCACTGACTGTTCTTCCAGAGGTCCTGAGTTCAATTCCCAGCAACCACATTGTGGCTCACAACCATCTATAATGAGATAAATAAATCTCATCTATAATGAGATAGATAAATAAAAAAAAAGACAATGGGATTCACTGGGTCCCATGGTATCAGGGACACAAGGCAGCATGAAATTGCTAAAGGCAATGTGATCACAGTTATCATGGTCAGCACAGGCAAAGGTAATTTTTTTTTTTTTGATTTTTCGAGACAGGGTTTCTCTGTAGCTTTTTGGTTCCTGTCCTGGAACTAGCTCTTGTAGAACTCACAGAGATCCGCCTGCCTCTGCCTCCTGAGTGCTGGGATTAAAGGCGTGCACCACCACCGCCCGGCTAGGCAAAGGTAATTTAATGGTGGCATGAGTCACATGGACCTGGTGTTTCCAGGCAAGAAATCAATAAGAAACTGTTGTAGTCAGTATTCTATTGCTGTGAAGAGACACCATGAACATGGAAAATCTTTTTGTTTTAACAATTTATTGTTTATTTATTTATTTATTTATTTTTTGTTTTTTTGTTTTTTTTTTTTTTTTTGGTTTTTTCGAGACAGGGTTTCTCTGTAGCTTTGGAGCCTGTCCTGGAACTAGCTCTTGTAGACCAGGCTGGCCTCGAACTCACAGAGATCCGCCTGCCTCTGCCTCCCGAGTGCTGGGATTAAAGGCGTGCGCCACCACCGCCCGGCTTATTTTATTTATTAAAGATTTCTGCCTCCTCCCCGCCACCGCCCCCCCATTTCCCTCCCCCTCCCCCGATCAAGTCCCCCTCCCTCGTCAGCCCAAAGAGCAATCAGGGTTCCCTGCCCTGTGGGAAGTCCAAGGACCACCCACCTCCATCCAGGTCTAGTAAGGTGAGCATCCAAACTGCCTAGGCTCCCACAAAGCCAGTACGTGCAGTAGGATCAAAAACCCATTGCCATGAACATGGAAAATCTTATAAAAGAAAGGATTTAACTGGGATTTGCTTACAGTTGCAGAGGTTTAGTCCTAAAAAACAATGACTCATGAGATCTGCAGGCAAATGAAGGGAACTAGGAAAAACCATCCTGAGTGAGGTAACCCAGACTCAGAAAGACAAACATGGTGTGTACTCACTCATTAGTGGAAGTTAGATGCAAAGCAAAGACTAACCAGGCTACAATCCACAGCCCCACAGAAGCTAGATAACAAGGAGACTCTAAAATGGATGCATGGATCACTTGGGAAAGAGGAAACAGATGAGATCTCCTGGGTAAACTGCATGGGGGGGGTTAAGGGGTGGGAGTTGGAGGAGCAATGAAAGAGATATCTTGATAGAGGGGGACTTTATGGGGTTAAGGAGAAACCTGCTTCCAGGGAAACTCCCAGGAATCCACAAGGACGACCCCAGCTAAGACTCCTAGCAACAGCAGAGAGGGCGCCTGAACTGGCCTGCCCCTGTAATCAGATTAGTGACTAC